GTGAAAGAAAGACACTGCTTCCAGGAGATCAGCTGCACCTGTGGTGAATAGAGGTCCTCAAGTTTGTATGCCTGGAGGTGAGGAAAAGCAGAAAAGCAGGTTTCACACGTGTACTTGGTGCTTGACTTCTACATAAAGAATGCAGCAGGCAAAAGACAACCAGGAAACAAAAAAAAAAACAAAAAACCAAAACAGCCAAAAAAAACTTAAGCAAGTTAGGTTTGTCAGAACAGGCAGTGAGAATGTAACAAAAAAAAAAAAAAAAAAAAAGGAAGAAAAATGAGTAACAACATTTACTACGTTACACAAGAAATCCATAAACTAGTTCAGACACCAGCTTGCATGCCCACACAGCTCAGATAATGACACTGAGGCCACAGGCAGACATGCCTCTGTACCACTCTGCCCAGTGCTCCCAGTTCGAGCACAGCAATGCAATCCAGATGCCTCCAAAATCAAAAGCATATCATCATGCATATGCCAAGGACACCTAAAATCCTCCCCTTGGTGATGTACACAGAGACACCTGCATCACTGGAGCAAAACACAGCAATTAGTCAGAACAGAGAATACTGTCTCAACACTGAACTTGAAGTAAAACTGGAACAAACAACAGAGGACAAAAAAAAAAGTCACAGAGAACATACTTGACAATTGTGACTGCCTTGCTGTCTCACCGTGTCATATCCTAAAACCTGCAAGCATGGTGCATCATCACATTTAGGCCACATCTAACTCTTCACAGGATCCGGATTTCAGTTCTCAAATAAGCTTTTGAACAGAAAAGCAAGGAGAATATCAGGCTGCCTCCTGGGCTATCATACAGGCAGCAGGAGCCAAACTCCATATTCTCTGCACACAAAGCCAGCAGCAGAGCAGCAGTCCGGCCAGCAGCAAGCAGGCTCAGCTATACGCCACAGACTGTGGCCCCGAGGCAGGGCAGGAGCTGAGGGAACAGAAGTTTGCTGATGCTCCATGTGCTCATCCTGCATTCCAGACATGTATGAACAGCCTTCAGAACTGTAACTCCCTTCATACTGTGTCTCATACCTTAGGCAGCCTCAGTCCTGTCCCATAAAAACATACCTGTGAACAGCAGCAAGCAGAAAGTGCCTCAATGCAAAGAAGAAAAATGGAGCTTCAAAAGACGCTGGTAGTTCTGCATTGGGATGTGTCCCCCTGCAGGCAGACACCACAAAGCTAAAGTGGCCTTGCAGTTTGTTTCATTTTAGGAAACAGTTGGACAGTGCTTTTTGCAACTATGCCACATTTCAGAACTTATCAGCAACGAAATACTTAAGCAGACAAAAAGCTTTATTGATTTCAATTAATTGCAGAAATATACATCTCCTCCTTTCTTGCTACTGTGTCACAGACAAATGAGCGCTGCCTTTTTTCTTCCTGGCAGCTTTCTTTGCTACCAAGAATTGTTTCCTTTTACTTCTTGCAAGGCAGCAACTATGCTCACACTTACACATTACCTGTATCCATTCGGCTCTTCCTTCTACCTTTCCCCAGCATGCATGGCTCTTCTACTTTCTTGCTTCCCTTTAAGCCCCAGTGCTTTGTTTTCATACTGCAAAAGTCATCACTTTGTTATGGTGCTCCTCAGACTGTTATCCGTACTAAAAGGGCTTATTTCAGTGCTATCCTTCTCAAACGATGCAATATGAAATACGCACACCTGAGATTTGCTCAAATGATGAACACTGAAAGAGTCAAAGACTCTCAACTGCAAAGATAATTTAAATAAAGACCATTTAAATCAAACTGAAGTGAAACACACAGTTTAGCCTGTGTGTGATGTGTATCTTACAGAACCGACCAACGCAGAATACTGCAAATCCCAGTCCTGGGGAAGGCACTGCCTGCTCTCACAGGTGACCCATGGGGCCAGAGAGCTTCTGACTTCTTCCTTCATCAGTAATAACACCAGCTAGTATTCAAGAATTGTGCTAAACAGGCTTTTTCCCCTTTAAAAAAAGAAGAAAAGAATGGAATTCCTTCAATTTCATTCATTTCCCATGAATAAAACCCCTAATGTCAACCACTACATACCAAGGAAGAACTTGGTTCTGTAACATGTAGAATAAGGCTACTGAGCAACCCAGAATAAACTTAACACAGTTCACAAGCCAGTGCTCAGTAGTTTGCTCTAAGTGCTACAGAGTCAATATTTTGGCATGTTTCATTTCCTGAGCTGGCGACCTTCACATCAAAACAAGAGCACATAACTGAGACTACCAGTCACAACACAACAGGGTTACTGAATGGAAAGCAAATTCCCAGGAGATGATACAGAATGATTACCAATCCTACTTTTAGTCTGAAATTCCTTTCAAAAAGCCAATATTACACCAGCAGAGCTCTAGGAGACAAAAAACACTACCCAATCCCAACAACAGCAGTCTGCGCAAGGATGGATGGTAGCAGGAAGAACACAGTACTGTTCTGTCAGGTTGTCAACTCCCTGTTTTTCTCTAAGAAATTAAAAATAAGATATTTTTAATTACAAAATCTTCCAATGTGTATAGATCATTTACCCCAAAGACAAACACGTTTCACAAACTGGTTGTTAACACTCACAAAGACCATTCCATCTCTTCAACAAGCAAGGATATATATATATAAACAGCAACGTGCACAAAAACGTTGTCATATTGATAACAGATGTTATCAACTCTGGGAGAAGCCTCAATAGGTAATTACAGGGGTTGCCATGCCCCACACTCACTACCAACAGTACTCACTTCCAGCAGCCTACCTGCATTTTCATACCACTCTCCTTCACCACTACAGCGTGCTGCAGGACCATTTCTTCCACAGTGTACGTTCTTAAAATAGTTACTAAATAAATATGTTCATTACACTGATGACAACAGAGGTGGCATGTAGCAACAAAACACATGGAATATATTCTTTCATCCAGTGACTGTAACTCTAAACGTTACATATGTGGAAAAGTGGCACTATTTTACTTTTTTTTAAAGCAGTGTTCAGGAACAGTGTAAGCAAGAAAAATGCATGTGAAAAAGCTGTCTTTCAGATGGGTTAAGGAAGCAACTGTGAAATGTGTGTATGTACATATACATATATACATACATATAGATATGTACACATACATAACTATACTAGCCATCCATGAGTAATTTCTGTAGTATACTCCTCAATAACTTACAGAAACATAGAATGGCTTGGGTTGGAAGGGACCTCAAGGATCATGTAGTTCCAACCCTCCTCCACAGGCTGAGTTGCCAATTGCTATATCAAGACTTACAAAAATGTCGAGTTCATATTAAAAGTGAAGAACTTCCCTGATGTCTTCACATCCAAAAATTCTCAGTTCTAACATCAGAAAGTCACCATTCTACCATAACCTACCCCAATCTATTTTTACCACCCCAACAGTATAAACTTTCTGAAACAGATCAGATGCAGCTGTTGGTCTAATCATCCTAACACAGCCCAATTCCTGCTGAGCACATGTTCAGGACTGTGTTTTACAAACTCTCTTCCATCACAATGCTTAAAGAGAAAACCAAAAGGAAAAATGGAATAAAACCAGCTCACATACTGCTTGCCACTGAATCACCTGCACTAGACAAGAAGCTCAGGCCACAAACCTAACTGCTCAGTGTGGAACATAGGGTGCACAGTCTGAAGATGCTGCTTCAGCCATCAGCCTAACATCTGCACAGCAGCTCCCAAAGCACAGCCTGCAGACCACCTGCAGCTCCCCAGGCCTTTGCACAGCAGCCCACAGAGGGGCCCTTAGCCAGGAAACTTCCAGAAGCCCAACAGCAGCGTGCTGTGCGACCGCCCGCACTGCCACAGGTCAGTGCCTCTGCAAACTCACAGGCTTCTGTGAAAAGGCTCCCAGTTAAAACTGTCCGTGAGTCCCAGCTTTGTTCTCAGTCAGCCACGGCCTCAATGCTTTTTGTAACTTCAGAATTTCCAAATCTAAGCTGTGGTAGCAAAGTTACCACATAAAGCACGTTTCTATCTGAAAGCTGCTGAACTCTTTGTATCACAAACTTATGCACGCGTAGTCTGTCAAGCCCTGAGTACAAAAGCACCAGAAATACATGTTATGCTTTATCTTACAGCATCAAAAAGTTCTGTGGGAACAAGAGTTTGGGAATCCGAGTTCTCCACCAACTGATGCACTCAGAACACACTGAGGCAGATGAGTCAGCGATGCTGCTAACAGTTACACGCATGGGAACATGCAACCACTGACTCCTTTTTGTTTGTTTGTTTGTTTTTGGTATACTCTTACAGTCTACATGCTTCCAAGAGTTGAGTGAATTAAAACCTGATGCTTTTTCAATGTCTATTACTTTACAACGATAACTCAAGTGTATTTGGTACCTGGTGAGATGGTAACAGCACAGCCCCACAAACTCCCCCAAGGTTACTGGATGCCACTCACACACAGGACCACACCAAAGGAAAAGGCAAGACTGCCACCTGCCCAGGACTGGAAGCACAGATCTCCATGTGCTCTGTTCTCGCACGTTAACAGGGACTCAATCAGTACGACGTGGGTAAGGCTGCCGAGCAGCACTACTTGCCCATCAGAGACGCACGCACAGATCTAAGCACAGAACTCACACCAGCCCCACACCTTGCGGGAAGCTTTGAAGCATGGCTTCCACGTGCACACCTGGCCCTGCGCGCGGCCCCTCCTGCTCCGGACGCCCACCGGCTGCCTCAAAGCACTGCCTACGCTGCTCGGAGCGCTCCGCTGCCGTTGGCCGAAGCGGGCGGCCCGGGTACCGAGGCGGGCGCCAGAACGGAACGGGGCCACGCCGGGGAGCTGCGCCGCGTCACTGATCTGCTGCTCGCGGCAGCCAATAGGCACCGGAGCCGGGCACGGCGCGACTTCATTCATTCATTCATAAAAAAAGAGGCGAAGCACATATAGGAAACGCTCCCTTCCGGGCTCGGTACGGGGCTCTACGGGCCCCACCGCGACCCCCAGCCCCACCGGTACTCACGGCAATCCGCCTCGTCGCTGTTATCCGAGCAGTCGTTGTCCTCGTCGCACGCCCAGACGGCGGGGATGCACCGCTCGTTCCGGCACTGGAACTGGTCCTTATCGCACTCCTTCACGGCTCCTACGAGACACGGGGCCGCGCCTGGGTCAGCGGGGCGCGCTTCGCCGCCGGGGAGTCCCGGGGTCAGGGTCGGTCCTGCAACCGGCACCGAGAACCACCAGCGGAGGGCAGGGGCTGGGGCTGGGCCCGGCTGGGGGGATGCGCCCCGCGGGAGCACGGCGGTGCACGGAGCTGCTTTGTGTGCGCGTGGAAGGGCCGCTGCCGTGCTCCGTGCACCGGATTGGAAGCGGGGGATAAAGGAACCCGAGGATGAAAAACGGTTAAACGCCAAACGAAAAAGACAAAGAAAAATGGAAAAGCGCACCAAGGCCAGGACCACTCCGTGCGTCCGCCAGCGGGGCAGATCGCGAGGAGAAGAGATGAGCGGTGCGGGCGGCGCTTCCAGAACGGGGGAACGACCCGGTCGAAGTTGAGGACGGGGGGACGAAGCAAATCTGCTTTGCAGACGCCGCGCCGCTTCACCGAGGCACAAATCTCCTCAGCGGGGGATTAAAGGTGGCAGCTCTCGTCAGCAGCGCTCGGGTCGCGCCGACCGACCGAAGAGCGCACGCGGTCCCCGCTCCCTCCTCCACCGCTCGCAACCGCCGCACGGAGCAGCAATGCGAGGCGATGCTCGGGGCCGGCGGGACCCTCGCGTCCTCCCCGCATCACACGGCCGAGCCGCGCCGGACCCACCTTTGCTGAGGTACAGCTTCAGCAGCAGCAGCTGGAGGAGCAGCAGCCGGGCGAGCGCAGGCCGGCACATGCTGCCCGCTCCCTCCGTGGCAGCGCACCGTGTGCGGGATGCGCCCCGCTCGCCACCGCGCGCCGCCCGCACGCGGCCCCGCCCACAGCCGCGCGCCGCCGTGACGCGCCCCCGCTGGGCGGGCCCGTACGCGTGCGCGCCGCCACCACGCGCAACCGGCCTCGGGCGCGCGGTTCCGGCACGGGGTGGCGGCGGCGGGGGGCTCCGCATCTCCTGTCCACGGTCCTCCGGTACCCAGCTCCACTCTGCTCTTTTAAATGGCCCGGAGGCGTAACTTCGGCTGGCGCTCGGGCCGCGCTGTTGTGCTTCTCTGCGCGTAATTGCGCCCAAATGGGTGAAACGAGCGCGACGTGCGCTGAGGGCCATAGCCTCGCGTTGGTCGGCAGCTGCTGAGATGTCCGAGCTGCGGTCCAGGATGCATCCATCCTCCGGCTGCAGAGTGCCGGTGGAAACGAGAGGGTGAGGAGTGTCGGTAGCTTAATTATGACAAGCTATTTTCAGGTGTAACCTGAATCTAACAGTGCAACAGCGTTAACGTGGTTACAGGCAGGCCTTTGTTTAAGAAAAGAATCGAGCACTAATTTTACATGAGCCGATGCGCTACAATTGCTCGATTGCAAACCCTGCACTGCCATCTGCCTCAAACCGCTCCCCGTGTGAAAGCGCACCTGTGCCTTTAACGAGCTTTTGCAAGTCATTGGTGAGCAGCGTCCGAGAGCCCGAGCAATGCGCGTAGGGCCGGCTGCTGGCTGCGCCGTGGCCCCGGCAGCTGGGAGAGATCGGAGCCCTGCTGGGCAGATCTTTAGTGCGCAAAATGCAGCGCGTTTGTGTTGGCTGGATCAGTGGGATAGACTGCAATAATTGCTCAAAGCTGAGGAGGGTCAAACGCAGTCTGATAGAGCTATCCTAATTCCTGGCCTCTTCTGTTTTTCCCAAATTAGAGCTGGAAGTGGCTCCAAAGAGAGCAGTGGAGCTATTCAGGATGAAACAGGTGCAAAGCACTGGCATTGGTGGCAGCAGCGATCTGGTGTGATCCATATCGGAACTTTGGATTTCTAGAAGCTAATTTGGCTGCATGCCTCTCACAGAAAGCAACGTAAAGAAACCTTTTCTAATTAAATAGCTCAGATGACACCTGATGTGCTGTGATTTCAGCAGCCCTTACTGGCCATTCGTTGAGGCAGCTGCTAGGAGCCCAGCCTGGGGGATGTGTGTCATGTTTGTGTCCCAGAGGCAAAGAGGAAACTGGAGAAATTAAAGGAAGTTAAGGTAGAGAAACCATGTTGCATAAAAGAGACATCTCATTTTATCCATTATGTTCTAACAATTAATTAAGATTGATAATTTACCTCCTATGGTCCATCTCTGCCAGGAGCTCTCCTCTTCATCACCAGCTGGAACAGGAACTCAGGCTTCTTTTACCCAGACTGTCTGGAAGCCTGTAAAGCAACATCACAGTTGTATTTGATTTGTGGCCAAACAGTGTCCAGCATCTCATACACAATACTCAGTAACTGCTATACACAAAATACATGCTGATAGTCTGCATTTCCTGGTTGGTGGCTGAGGTCATTCATAGATCTAACACACAGAAGTCAATCTGTCCTATTTACAAGACTGGCTGCAGTGGGTTCTTTTGTTCTTTAGTCACACAGGTGTGCACATACACACCTTCCCAATCGGTGGGAGGGCAAAAGAAGTCATTCAGAAGCATGTAAAAAGCATTGCGCTGAACTTCACCTGGTGCTTGAACCTTCTGTGCATCTCCCAGATACTTTCCCTTGTTTTGCAGAGGGTTGAGGTGCAGATTCAGACCAAGAGTTTGTCTTGAGCAACATGCTGCAAGCAATTGTGCCTGGTGTGCGAGACCCAGGAGCATTTTGTTGTTCACCACACTGCAGCTGGAGGGGCTGAGGATCAGCTGTGCAGGATGAGGTGGGCAGATACTAAAGGAGTCCCTCATCTGAAGCCTGGAATACTTGCACTACTCAGAACTGAGAACACACATCATTGTGACCAGCGTTGTCTATGCTGAGAGGTGGGCAACAGATTTCATCTAGTAATAACCTGAGTGTGCTGGTGGCAGCTTAGGACAGCATCAGACCATCCTGACTTACTGCTGTTCACAGTCAAGAATGTCAGTAACCATGGACCCTCTGCCCCATTACTTGCATCGGAGTGACAGCCTGCCTGACAAAGAACTCTCTCAAATGTGGGAAAACTGCTTTGTTGTTTTATCATTAAAACTTTGCTAAGTTAAAAAGCATATAAGGAAAAATAGATACTCTTAGGGAAGAGAAAGAACAGGTGTACGTAGGATACATCCCCTGGGAAGTCTCCAGTCTGTCTTCTGAAACTCTCCAAGCTGTGGAAACCAAGTGTCTTCAGCTGTTTGTACTGACACACACCCTTCAGGCCACTGTTCTTCTCCCAGCAGTGTAATGTCCTTCTACAATCTTTTTTTTTTTCTTTCAAATTGACATTTAAAAAAATAAAGTCCTTTGCTATTCCTGTAATTGCTTTCCAAGATATCCCCTGTCCGTTAGGCTGACTTTTTCCATCCTGTCTTTCAACTTGGCAAATCTAATTCCCTCAATCCCCTCATGCCTTTTAGATATGCTAATGTAATATGTTTTCCAAACAGATATTTAAATTAAACCTTTTAATTAAGTTAGTTGAACCAGTGTACCAGCGGCCATGTCCCTGCCAGCTGGTATGTCAGTACCTGCAATATTATTTACCTTCTTAATAAAATGCTGTTGCCTGAACTTACACTGCTGTGAATTTCAAACTGCACATAGTGTTGTACGTTACATCTGAAACTAAAACTGATTTCCTTCTGCTTCTACTGAGTGAAAAACAAAACAAGCTCAAAACCCTGTGGAGTATAAGCAGGTTCACTACTGATCAGGGCTCGTCCCCAGCTCTTAAAGTTTGTTCCCTCTCTAAGAATTACTACAGCACACCAACAAATTATGTACCACATAAGGACGCTGTAGTTATTTTTCCTGTAACTCTTACTGATATTTTGAAAGCTAGAGATAAATCACTAAAAAATTGGAGAATATTCTGCCTTTCATTTGCATAAAGCCTCTTTTGCAGGTGTGAAAACAAGTTACTGCTCTAATTCTGTACTGTTTTTCTTCCAACTCATCTTTTTATTTGCATCTGACTAAATGTTAGCCCCTGTTCTACGCATTTTTTCCCCCCAATTTTTATTCTGTTTCAAAATACTTTGTTCAGTCTTTTGTATTATATCTTTTGTTTGTTGACTTCTTTTTATTCTCTTTCAACTTCAGCTTCCTTACAGAGGATTCCAGTCCCCCAAGTCAGCTACTTGCTCTTTTCCTTTTCACATTTCCTGTTTAAAACCCATGCCCTAAACTACTTTGTCTATTAGATCCATCTTCCCCTTTCACTTTCTAGGGCTTTCTGACAGCCCTAGGGACTTTACCTTAGCTTCCTAAAAGGCCAACTTAACCCCCTTGGCACACACACAGTCTTCTGATGACATCCTTATTCTTAGCTAGCTCATGGCCTATTAAAGAAAGGAGGACATCCCACAGACTTAAATCACATTACAGAACTCGTCAGTTTATCATCCAAGAACCGTGCTGCAAACTAGATTCTCTGGCTTCCATAGCCATTATTGATCTTTGTCCCAAACCATCCCTCAGTTAGGGATGGTTTCCCTTTAGTGAAGCTTAAGAAGCAGTGTGATACCACATTGCCATGCTGCTCAGTGCTGCTTACTATCCAGGTATGAGACTGCACCACTTCCTTACCCATCCTCTCATTTCAGTCCAAAATGCACCACAGCACTCAGTCACTAACACCTCGAGGTAGCTGGCTGCATCTCAGCCATGCATATGACTCGTGCATACTTGGGGCGTTCGGAGCAATCCTGACTTAAAGCCACTTTCTTAAACTTAGATTAAGTATGTCTGTCTAACTTCAGGCCCACATTGTCCACTGTGACTGTCTGCTCCTGGTTTTCTATAGCATTTCAGCTCAAGTATGAACCAGGACATATAGCATACCCAGAAGATGCTGTGAAAGCTCCCTGGAAAGCTTCCTGAAGGGTACTGCCCTTTTCCACCTTCCACACTACGTTCTTGTTCCTGCATCCCATGGGATGGTTTGCAGGCCATTGGTAAAGTTGTTATTCAGCCAGAGAGGAGTTAACACAGAAGGCTTCTGCCCCTCATTCCCCTCCCGGGGCTGACCACTGTGCCATAGCAGTACCCCCGGACAATGGATCTTTGAGTGCAACCGAACCCACAGTCACAATAGGGATCTTTCCCATTAATTTTAATGAGTGTAAGAACGAAGGGACTGAGAAGAAAAAAAGTGAGGATTAGGTGTCTGGCAAGATCTTTTGCATGCTGGAGGAGCATTGCTGTAGACTGAGCTGCTCTTTGCTGTCGTACAGTGACTAATCACCGTGAAAGCGAACAGAAATGCAGACTTCAGGCCATAGTTAGTAACAAGTACAGTGGGATTTTTTCAAGATGTTTCACTTCAAACTATTTATCCTGCTAATACTAACAAAGGAATCATGAACTGGAGCAAAACTGAAGTTGACAGTGTCTCGTGTAACTCTGCAGTGACCGTACATCAGCGCTGTAAGGCAGCAGATTAATACCACAGACTGCTGTTTGCTCTACAGCTCCCAAAGGGCTGAGGCACAACAGAGGAAGCCAGCAGCAGCATGAAGCCTGGATTTTTTGCTTGCCTCTTTAACAATTCAGTAAGCTGGGCACTCCCTCCACTTTTCTCTCACACCTTGCTTGTTCATGCCCAGGTGCTGCAAGGCAGCGGTGTGTTGTGTGGGGATGGCAGGAGCAGGACAAGGTCTGGTTCTGTGGGGTGCAAAGTCCCCAAGCTCCCAGCAGCCCTCCGGAAAGCTTTGAGCATCCCGATGGCTCACGCAAATTCTTTTAGCATTAATTATAACATCAAGGAGAAAATAATGCCCAAATGGGAATTGAGGATCATGTCTGCATTGACTGTTTCTCATTATACAAGGGCTGCCCCAAAAGTAGTGCCTCCCATTTTATGGCATTGGC